AAGCAGCAGCGCACCTCGACCATGTCGTGCAATCGGATAATATTTGGGTGATCGATCCTCTTAAGGATGAAAATCTCCGACTTGAGGCTTTCCTGCAATTTGGGGCTCAACCGCGAGGTGACAATCTCCTTGACCGCGACCTCGGTGCCGTTCACGCGGTGGCGCGCGTGCCACACCGTGGAGAACGAGCCCGCGCCTATCTGCTTACCCATCACGTAATCCCCCACCATTTGATACCTCCTCATTGATTGAGCCATTGCCCAAAAACAAAAAAAAAAAAGCTTCAGTTACAGAAAACCAGAAAAGACCTCCTCGGCCCAAGCTCACGAGATGAAAAAAAGACGCGAGCTTTATGGTGCCGTCGGTTGATTTTTGGCTCCTCTCTCGATATTAGTGGATGGGTTCTGGATTTGATTTTGTTTTAATGGTGTTGATTAACCAATTTCAGAGAGTAATGAGGGGGATTTGGTTTTGGTTATGATTTAGGGAGATTGTGTGTGTGTGGTGAGGTAGGTGCGTGAAGCTCTGTGCTGCTGACGGAGGCGGCGCGGCGGAAAACGGCGACGGAGTTGGGACGTGGAGTCGTGGACGCATCTGATTGGGAGGCGACAAATACCGGAGAATTTTATCTCTACTGATGATCTTTTTGTTTAAAGAAACTATTTGAGTCTTTAATCAGTTAGTATTGGCCTATTTGGTAACAAAAACATGAAGATGAAATATAACTCTGATAGTAATAGGATTATATTTGTTTTGGAAAGGTGACAAATTGAACAAAAAAAAAAAAGAGGGAATTAACTTCGCAATTTATGTGCATATATATTTTATTTCAGTGATTGAGTAGATGCAAAATACAATCAATTCTAAAAAGTATATAAATGAAGCAATTGTTTGTAGTATAGGCTAATAATATGCAAATCCAAAAAAATAAAATATAATGCATATCCAAAAAAATAAAAAGTAATGCTTCTCCTCATCAGCAATTTGCTACAATGGCCTAAGATCTTATGTAGCTAGCAATTACATCGATTTATTAAGAAAAAAAAAAACTAAATCTCAATTTTAAAAGAAAAAAATTGAAAAAAACAAAAATAGAAAAAGATATTTGTCTTCAGATTTCACCATCCCATAGTTCTTCTATGGTCTTGTAGGACCCAAAAGTTTCATGCACAAACGAAGACCCTGTTATAAGCCTCACCTGCACATCATTATTACATCCCACAATTCATCACTTCAAATAGTTATAATCTTATAATCATAAGGTTATGTTTTTCTTTTTCTTTTTTTCACTAAAGAATCAATCTTTTGTTAGTATGTGTAGCTAAGCAACATTCATCACAAATCCTCAGGAACCTTTTAACCGTCCGATCAAGTGTGTGTGTGTGTGTGTGTGTGTGTGTTATTGGACGGTTAAAACTCTTATCAATTACCTGCTCGATTTCAGAAAGATGGGCACACAAATCCTCAGGAATTGACCAATCAAACACATCAAGATTCTCTTTAATCCTCATCTCGTTAGTGCTCTTCGGGAGCACGCTGTGGCCCGACTGCAGTCCCCATCGGAGGGTGACTTGTGCCGGAGTTTTCCCCAATTTCTCAGCAACCGTAATTACGATCGGGTTCTTAAGCACTTCATGCTTGAGGCCACTTTTTCCTGAGGAGCCAAGTGGTGAATATCCCTGTAATAAAAAATAAAAAATAAAAAAGGAAAGGGTAATAACTAATAACTGGATTAACTTATGATTTGTGAGTATATCTTAACTCTTAAAGCAGATGTGAGTCTATTGTCAGACGGTCTAACGGGTTAGAATTTGTGCAACACTAACCGATATATGGATTCCTTTGATTTTACAGAACATGTGCAGCTTCGGCTGTTGCCATGAAAGGTGACACTCGACTTGGTTGACAGCCGGAGGTATACGTGCCGTATCCAATAAATTGGCTAATTTCTTGCACGAGAAGTTACTCACGCCTATAGCCCGGGCTTTACCGGCATCACAAAGTGCTTCCATTGCTTTCCACGTGCTCGGCACATCCACTTTAGTCAGATTTTGCGGTTCGAACGTGACAGAACCTTTCTTCATGCTCACTGGCCAGTGCATCTTGACAAATGAAAACGAGTAAATTATAACAATGATTATAATACATCTTGAATTCCACTGGGAAAAGGAAAACTCGAGTATTGCGCACGTACTAGATAAAGATCGATATAGTCGAGCTGCAAGTCATCCAGTGTTCTGGTTAAGGCCAGAGGTACATCTTCTGGAGCATGGTCCGAGTTCCTGCACAATTTTAATCCGTAATTTACTAGCTTATAGCGAAATTTAAAGTGCGGAGTTCGATTATTAACGTGGCTTTACAAACCAGAGCTTAGAAGTGATCCATAAATCCTCACGCTTCACAACTCCATCATCAAACAACTTCTTCAGGGCAACACCAATCTGCAAATCTCAAATTGTCCGTAAATCGAAAGTTCAGCTACATTAGCAGTTCATCGAAAAAAAACAAAAATGCAGTGATTTTTTCTGGCAATTAACCCATCTAATTGAAAACAGTCCCAAAATTTTCCATTGTCCCTAAAATCATTTCTAGGGCAAAACTCTCTCACTGAGAGGTTTTCAGTTTTTCAGTTTTCAGCCATGAAACTTTAGGAATTTTTCGCAGAGACTGTACCTCCTTCTCATTGCCATATCTTTGGGCGCAATCAATATGCCGATATCCAGCCTGAAACACAAATTTTACAATACAAACATACAATCACTCAAAATTCACCGCCATAGCCAGTATTAATCGCAAATTACTCGTAGCTGTAGCTAAATCTGCGAAAATCGAGACTGGATCCAACAGATCAATGGACTCAAACACAGGCTGGAAGAACGAAAATTGAAACGATACATAAATAAATTGCCATTTCCTTCGAGAAATCTCCGACCTAAAAAAATGCTAAATTCGAGAATCACCTCAATCGCGGCGGTGATGGCGTCGCCGACGACGTAGTCAGCCGCCTTCCATGTGCCGAGCCCGACGGAGGGGATTTTGGCGCCGTTGTTGAGCTCGAAAAATCGAATCCCTTTCCCCATTTTTTTTTTTTTTTTTTTGGGATAGATTTATCGATTTATCAATTACTGTTTATTTGCAGTCTAAATGAGCTATATTTAGCGTGCTTCTGCATGCATAGCTAATGCAATTTTTGGAGACTAGAGATTGGATATATACATATTCATACAAATATATATTGATTTAATGGAAAAATCATCGGCCATCGAATCGAACAATCTATCGGTTTAATGATTTATTGGTCGGACCATCTTTAGTTATAAATATTTTTAAACATATATATAATTTTGTGTAATAAATTTATTTTAATATTATTAATTAAATACTTAGAAAATTTAAAATATTCAAATGCTTAAATTAATTGTTAAGTGGGCGCTTGTTTATGGATTTTTTCAACCAAAATATTTCATTTTGTTAACTATAGTTAAAGTTGAAAAAGTAATGTGGTTAATTGTTAGTGGAATTTAAAAAATATATTAAAATAATATTTAAAATAAAAATGATTAAAGTTGATTTGATATAAAGTAAGAGATAAATGATTGGAAATGATTGGTAGTTAAAATTATGTGAGTGGATGAATAGTGAATTAAAGTTGATGTGATGTGTAAGAATGATTGATTTTTATTATTTAATTGTATGAATAATATTAAAAATAGTGAGGTTGAGTTAAAGTTGAGTTAAATATTTGAGTTGAAAAAATTGGATTGAAAAAATCCATAAACAAACATGCCCTAAATAATTCATACATATTCATTATATTTGATTATGTATTATTTTTGTTTATATCAAAAATACTTTCAGATATATTAAAATTTATTTTTAAGAAAAATGAAATACTTGAACTGTTACGATTGGTTTTTGGCCGATTTTGATTAATTCAACTGATCGTTTATCAATTTTTATTAGTTTGCGGGCAATCTGTTCTTTCTAGCGAATCCGACCAGTCAACAGAATCAGTTGGACCGACCAGTCCAATTCAAATTTGAAAAAACAGTGGAAAAAAATTCGATCTTCAGAACCGTACTAAAAGATCGGTTCGATTCGGATATTTATATTTTTCGGTTCGGTACGGTATTCGGGACTATTGGGACGGTACAGTTCGGTACGGTTTGGTTCGAATCTTCGGACATTTCTTATTTTTTTAGATTTTTTTGAATGACTACCTAGTTATATTTTAATTTTTATATGCTTTAAAAAACAACAATAATCAATAATTCATCATATTGAAAATTTTATTTTGAAATCAATTTTTTAAGTAACTCTAAATTTAGTTATTTAATTTTTATATGTTTTAATAAAACCAACATTTATCAATACTTTCTCATATTAAAAATTTTATTTTGAAATCAACTTTAGAAGTAACTCTAAATTTTAGTTAAGACTAAATATGTGCAACTAATATAAAAAATTTAAAATTCAAACAAAATGTAATATTTTTTTCTAGAAAAATATTTTTTAACCTTTCATACTATTTTAAATACTTATTTTATAATAGAATAAATTTAATTGTAGATCAAGTATTACTAAACATGAAAGTTAGGTGAAGGTTAATAGTTACTATTACTATATTATAAAAGATCAAAGGTGACATAATCCGTTGGTCGACCTGGGTCGCACACCTAGCAGTGGTGGGTGTCTCCCAACAAGGATTTTATGCATCCACAAGAACTCGAACCCGAGTCCTTGCTTAAGCGGCATCCAACTGCTTACTACTTGACCCAACTCTTGTTGGTTGAGCCTATTTATGTTAATTTAACCAATTGAAACTAGTATGAATCTCGTGCGATGCACGGGTAAGAAATATTCATTAATATATATAAATTGAAAATGCTCAGTAAATAATATTTATAAATTTAAAATATGAAATGGATATGTAATACAATTTACGTATATTAATCTATTGAATATTATATAAAAAAATTTAATGGTGCAAAATTACATAAAACATGTCTATTAAAAATTACATTATATTAATTTCAAAATAATTTTAAAAGTACAATGACTACAATGTGATTCCATAAGATAATTATTTTGGTAAACTTGTGATTACATTATATTATATGATTAATCCACATATATGGATTGTTTATCATATATATATGGTATGGTTCTTAGTTATATAAATATGGAAATGAATCAGTGTGATTGGATAAAAATAATTTAAATTTTTGGATTTCAAACTCAAATAAAAGCTTGATTATTCAAAAAAGAAAAATCTAAATTTAGTAATTTCACATTAGTTAGGCAGAAATTTAAGTAATATTTTAAATAAATTGTTTGCCGTTTTATATATTAATAGATAGATGGATAAAATAAAAGATATAGATATAGTACAACATTCCACTAACTAATGTGAATAATTAAGAACTCAACAAAGTAAAATCAACATGGAATAGTCTAATTTTTCTTAAGAAATATCCAAACCAAAACGACAAACCAAAAACGCGTTGCCTCTTTCTCATATTGAACTCAAATTATTGTCATTAATCTCATATGTACAAAACATTGAGAGGTAAAATAGAATAAATCTCTTCATCTATTTCATATTAGATCATCTCATACATGTTGCGATGGGCTTAAGCTTGTATACCCAATTCTCTGATACTCAACCTTGAATTGAAAACACCATAACCTTGAAAGATGTATAATAAAGGCTCTGTGGGGGAATTAAATATAAAATAAGCCCACAATATTTCAATATGAAACAAACTCATGTACCAAGTTAGACAAAATGCAATGACCTAGCAATCTGCAGAAAACATTGGATCTTACAGAGAAGGCAAAAATTCAACAACCTAGTCAAAGATATGAAGAGAAAACTTTCAAAACTTCCAAATAAACAGGCTTCTTGAAATCCACTGCCTACAAAGCAAAAAAAAAAAAAAAAAAAAAAAAAAAAAAAA